GTCATCAGCTTGGTGTATAGCCACTGCTCTTATTAACAGCATCTGTGTGTAGGCTGATATTTTCTGATGAAGGCATTAATAAATGAATGAATGAATGAAGGTTGGCCACTATGTGGTTTTCAGGTCAAATGGGACACTTCTTGTTCATCACCCAAATTCATATTCAAAGCCTTATTTTCCTCAGTTGGCTGAACAAACAATACTGCAGATGGTACAAAACAGTGCACCAGTGTTTTCACAGAAAGGCAGCTTTCCCTATAAACCCCACATGTCCATGGGTAGACAGTGTGCTATTTACCTAAGACTGAAACCTTGGCACAGAACCTCATCTGTAAGTGGTTATCCATCATCCAGTATCACCTGCAAATCCACTAGACCTATGACACGCATACAAAAATTTAGCTCACACCTGTCGCTCATGTATTTTGACTGGGCTCAAATAACAAGAGAGATATCTAATGGAGAGATAGTTCTTTGAAGAATAAAGTGAATTCTCTCTCATATCCTCATGCCAATCCAGCAAGTTCTCTTAGTTCCATTGTAACTCTTTGTGTACATAAAAATGGACTATGCCTTTCATTGACTATGAGAATGCCCTCCAGTGGGTTGGTGTCCCATCCAGATTGTATTCCTGCTGTGCGTCCAGTGTTCCTGAGATAGGCTGCAGATCCACTTCGACCAGGATAAAGCAATTACTGAAGATGAATAGACACTTGAATGAATGAGAAGTAGACAGTAGCAATAGTACAATCCTCAATCTTGCAAGACATTACATATATTGTTTGTTTGACTTAAAAATGCTTTCAGGTGGGAAGATCCTTGAAATAATCCATGCAATTCTAACAGTAGTACTAGCTCTGAAACATTTACCTTTGTGTGTTTGTATGTCTGTGTGCCTCTGTGTGCATGTATGCATTTAAAAACTTGCTTTCATTTTGTTTTTCCCTTAAGCTCAGACGTGTATTATTGAAATGACACTGTCAACTGACCCTGCTCCTGCTGTCCATGGAGTTTGGGTTTATAGGGCTCATTCATGCCTGCACACCGTCTATGAGTTCTAGGACTGGGGTAGCAGATGGAGAACCACTGCCTGTGTAACGTGGAGCATCGTGACAATGGAGTTGGGGAACTCCCAACTCCCAACTTCCAAATGCAAGGCTTTATTTACAAACGTGGTCAAAACAGGCAGGGTCGAGCACCAGCAAACAGTATAATCCGAGGCAGAGGCAAAAGAGTAATCCAAAACACAGGCAGCAAACAATCAAAAACAAGGAAAACAGTCCAAGGGTAAAAAACACAGGGAAACTAGGAAACACGGAATGGCTATACATACACAATAATCAGCAACCTAGGAGCAGGTGTGAGCAACTTTTATACAGAACAAAGAACACATGACAAAACCAACCAATGAAAACAAGACACATGAACCCAAGGAACCAATGTCAGAACACAAACAAGGGTAGCACATGACAGGATCACATGAGGGGCAAGGAACACATGGGAAATGGAGTCCAGAAGACAAGGGCAAGAGTCCGGGGTGGAGTGCCCCCTAGTGGAGTTCGTGGGCACTCCAGCTGGTGCTTCCAGCTTGGAGATGGCCTCCTTGGCCATGACAGGACAGTCAGAGGGTTCAGAAGTGGACGCCGCCAACTCGGGAGGTTCTGCAGCAGGAGCTGGCACCTCAGGAACTAGAGCGGCCTCTGGAGCAGACTCATGGACTGGAGCGGGCTCTGGAGCGGATTCGAGGACTGGAGCGGGCTCAGGAACAGATTCACGGACTGGAGCAGACTCGGGGGTAAATTCACGGACTGGAATGAGAACAGAACAGTGTGTAGCCCAAACACAGGATGGCGACCGACATTACAGGGAGCACTGAGGATAGAGGAAGTGTCTCTGTGATGACCAGTGCTGAAGCTCTTGGAATGCCTGCTGCACGCACCGACATCAATAGTGGGTCTGTCAGACTGGACATCAGCCTCAAATGCCCTTGGAATGCCTTGGTGTCTTCAAATGCAACATCCACGATGCTCGGGAATACTGGAGTGGCAGCCGTGATGGCTGAAGACTAAAACTTGACATCCATAATGGCTGGAGGCTCTGGTATGACAGACATCTTGGGAAGTGGCGCTGGACCAGCAGCTATCTTGGGAAGTGGCTCTGGACCGGCAGCCATCTTAGGAAGTGGCTCTGGACCGGGGATCACAGAACAGGAAGGTGCAGAGAACACAGGAGTGGTGACCATAATCACAGGACCTGCTGGTGGCCATGATGGGTCAAGCTCCGCTGCTGCCAGAGCTTGCCGCTGTTGGCGCCCCCCCCAAAAATTCTTTGGGGTTTCAAAGTCCTCTGCCTCTCCCACAGTAAAAGGAGAACCACATGACAACAGTGCATAGTCCATAAAGTCTCTTAAGCTACAGGTAAATTCCCCTCCAGGTAACAATGATTTCATTGGCTCATTGAGTCCAAAATGGAACAAGTTCTTAAACAAAATCTCATCATATATTGGTACTCACAGAACAGATGAACATATTCCTCAATGGGTAGGTTCTTTTGCCAAAGGTGCAGCAGTTGATCAACTGGGTCCAGGATTGGCCTGGAATGCTCAAAAAGCCGCTGGATCTGGGTGTGGCTGATTATTCTGTAATGTGGAGAGTCGTGACAACGGAGTTGGGGATCCAAATGCAAGGCTTTATTTACAAACGTGGTCAAAACAGGCAGGGTCGAGCACCAGCAAACAGTGTAATCCGAGGCAGATGCAAAAGAGTAATCCAAAACACAGGCAATGGTCAGGGCAGGCAGCAAACCAAAAACAAGGAAAACAGTCCAAGGTTCAAAAACACAAGGAAACAGGGAAACTAGGAAGCACAGAAACATGGAATGGCTATACACACACACAATAATCAGCAACCTAGGAGCAGGTGTGAGCAACTTTTCTACAGAAAAAAGAGAACACATGACAAAACCAACCAATGAAAACAAGACACATGAACCCGAGGAACCAATCTGAACATAGCACACAAACAAGGGTAGCACATGACAGGATCACATGAGGGGCAAGGAACACATGGGAAATGGAGTCCAGAAGACAAGGGCAAGAGTCCGGGGTGGAGTGCCCTCTAGTGGAGTTCGTGGGCACTCCAGCTGGTGATCGTAACAGTCTGCTTTTATTCTGCCTTGAGAAAAGATATGGAGAGAGATAATTGAGTACTAAATAGTATGGTACATAAATACAGTGTATAGCATATACAGTATACAAAAGGTAAAGAGTAAAATAAATGAATAAATTTAGTATACGTCAACTGTCGCATGGTAACAAACACACACAAACAGCAGAAAAATGGAAATAAAAGAAAAAAATATATAACTCATCAATTCTTGTTATCATCGTTATATGGCAGCACATAATTCATCATACTGGGTTACACTCCCTAAACTTGCTTGCAATGAAATTTACAAAATAATAATGTATTATTCAGGAGTGGAAAGGAATGAACTACATGTACTTTCATTACAGTAATTTACTTTAACAATAATTTTTGAGTATTATTATAGCATCGTACATTTACTTTAATTACTGTTACAGACTAAAAAAATAATAGGCAGCTACAGTGGCCAGAAGAAAACTTAGCAGTAAATGTACTGCACATGTGTGAATTTAGGTGAGTTTATTTAAAGTTTTTACTGTGTGTTGAATTAGAATTATATTTACACTATACAATAGCATTTGTTCTGTCCTCACTATGTGCCCATTCGCAAAGCTAGACAGACAGCTAACAGAATGAACTTGAAAGAACTTCTGACTCCATGCTGTCATTTACTGTTTATCTTCTGTTCCTACAAGTCAGTATTTTTACTTTCTTTTTTTCTGTAAAACTGAATGTTACAGTTACAGAAAATGTTAAAATATACAAGAAGTCGTACATAAAACAGTTAACATTAACATTAACTTTCATTATCATTCACCATGGTATATTACCACAGCAGTCATTTCCAGGTTAGCTAGTACTTACAACATACAGAGGAACTAGCTAATTAAGTAACTATGTCACCACTAAGTTCTCACACATGAGTGCATTATATAGCAAATATATGAATATCATACACGCCCAATCTATGCTAAATACAATAGTCATGTCTGAAAAAGTAAGTATACGTACAAGCAAAGATTCACCAGAGCTTACAACTATTTAAGTGTTGCTGTGTGTTTCTTTTGGAACTATGTACATGAACTGAACTGAAACTTCCTTCCTATATGATCAATGTCAAAATAATTTTACCAATTTATTAAATTAGATGGGGCTAACAATGTATGCCACTCCCCACACGGTATTGTTGAAATACCACTATTCCTTAAAATAACACTGGGCAGCATGAACAGGTAAGTACAGAAAATAAAGGTAAGTATATGGTGAGAGGTCCTTCACAGACATAAGAAGCACTGTTTCAGTTACAGGTCTCAAGAATGGTTTTGTCTCTCCATTTTTGGAGACTTTCACTTCAATTCATCTGACCTTTCCATCTTTATCAAGGTAAGTTTTGTTCACAAATCTCATTGGTCAGTCATTGCATCTCAATTGCGAATCTCTTGGGGGCAAGAATAGATCTCCCACTTTGAGGTTTGGATGCTCATTTTGCCACTTGCTTCAGTTCTACAGCATTCCTAGATACTCTCTTCTCCATCTATTCCAGAAAACATATGAGAGGTGCTATACCTGTTTCCACTGCTGTGGGAGTGAACGCCCTTTGGGTGAAGAGCATAGCTGGAGTTAAAAGAAAGGTCAGTTCTGTAGAAATGGGGGTGAGAGGTAATTTCAAATGATATTATCAGCAATAACTTGAGTGAAAATTACAATCTTAGAAATATCTACATGAATTTCAGAGTTTCTTAGTGTTTACATTTATAGCATTTGGCAGACACCCTTATCCAGAGTGACTTACATTTATCTCATTTATACAGCTGAGGGTTAAAGGCCTTGCTCAAGAGCCCAGCAGTGGCAGCTTGGTAGTGCTGGGGTTTGAACACATGACCTTCCAATCAGTAGTCCAATGTCTTAACCTTTGAGCTACCACTGCCCGGTATTTGTTAGGTTCCCTTTTTGCTTGAATGACAGTGTGCACTCAAGCTGACGCAGACCCCACAAGTTTGTGTAAAACCTAATGGTCCATGTTAGATCAAATCCATCATTGTGTTATCTGAACATGTGCTTCAGTGGAAGGGATAAGACTCACAGAAAATCTGACCTTTTGCACAAAGGAGTTAACATGGTCAATATCACAAATTTGCTTAAATTTAAATAGTGACCTAGAAACTGTGCACCGTTGTGAATATCGAATAGTCAAAATGTTGCACATTTCCTTTTTTGTTTTAGAATTTAAAAAATTCTAAAACTTTGTTTATTTCCAGTTTAAAAAAAAACTCAGATTTTCACTGTGGTCTCAGATCTTTGAACCCTACTGTATATGGCATATAATGCAATTGTGGTGGAATGCTTTGATTAACCTTGCTGAACTGAGGCATTACTTTATGATGGTAGTGTTTCACCAACAACTTTGCGATATGACTCTCACTGCATCTTCAAGTAATTCCACTTTCAGTAGGATCTGTGCTCTGACTGAGCCATTCCAAAATGTCTTGGATTGACTTGGATTTGTGCTTTATATTCTTAATATTTCTAATCTTCAGCTGTCTAACAGAGGCCTGCAGTTTTTGTGCCAAAATAGATAGGTATTTGGAGCTATCCATGATTCCCTCCATCTTGACTAGAGCCCCAGGCCCAGCTGAAGAGCAGAAAAGCAGTCCCATAGCATGATGTTGCCACCACCATGTTTCACCATGGGTATGGTGTTCTTTGGGTGATAAACTATCTTGTTTTTGTGCCAAACATATCTTTTAGAATTATGCCCATAAAGTTCTGCCTTGGTCTAATCAGACCATAACACATTGTGCTACACTATATGGCCAAATGTTTGTGGACACCTGTGGACATATAGACATGTGGACTTGTGGACATATGTGCTGTGGACTTGTGGACATTGAAGGACATGTATTTTTGAACATCCCCTGTAGGATTTAATCCCTCCTTTGCTGTTATAATAACTTCCACTCTTCTGGGAAAACTTTCCACTAGATTTTTTGGAGTGTGGCTGTGGGGATTTGCCCATTCATCCACAAGTATTAGTGAGGTCAGGCACTGATGTCGGGTGAGAAGGCCTGGGGTGCACTCAGTGTTCCAGTTAATCTCAAAGGTGTTCAGTGGGGTTGTGGAAACAGTTTGCGGAAGGCCCACATATGGGTGTAATGGTTAGGTAACCACAAACTTTTGGCCATATAGTGTACATGGATTGGAGTTATTTAGGTGGGCTTGAATGTTCTTGTGAGACAGGGCTTCTCTCCTGCCACCCTATTTCATAGCCCAGATATTTGAATATAAGAGACTGCTGTTACATGCAGGGAGTGACCAGGATATTACTGCATCTACTTCAATTTTGCCATAGGTATATTGGCAGCCTCCCTTATAAGTTTTCTTCCTCTCCTTTCAATTTTGGAGGGACATCCTGTTCTTGGTCCTATTTTCTCCAATTATTGATGATGTCCTTCATGGTGTTTCATGGTACATCTAATGTTTTGTATATTCTTTTGTTCCTTTGTGCACAGGGAGCATCATGTGGACCATTCCACTGCTCTTCTACCTTGTGGACTCTCAGGATGTCACGCCCCAGTAAGACAAGGATCTGTTCTTCAGTGGTGGAATGCAATATGCAATGACTTGAGCTGAGAGTAATACATTACCATTTCAGGTGTAGGTATCTGAGCTCTGTCATTTGGGATGTTGTTATGCCCGGCAGGGACAGTGTTACTGTCATAGCTCTATCTAAGGATCTGTGGCCCTCCTGCCAAATATCTCCATCGTACTGTTGTGAGTGTAAAAGGTGAGTCTGACTCCCGAATGTGGACAAAAAAAATTGAAAAAACTTGAAAAAGTCTAACTTGGCAAAAGACCTGTTACTTTGGTCATCATGCAAAACATATGCTCTTGTGTCTGTTTCTGGTTCTTTTTTAAGGGAAATTTTAACAAGGCAGATTTTTGAGCAGGATCTTCCACTCCAACCCTGTCCGCATGATTCAGTGCATTTTGAAGTGACAGCAAGTTCCTCTTTTACCTCCCCACAATGCTCAGACAGGGGTCACAGGACAGGTCCAAAATGTGACTGTTGTTTCAAGGCCAAAGGCCATCAATGTCCCTCATGAAGGACATTTTTCAAGTCCAATAATTTTATGGACAGTCATCAAACTTGTTGAGGTTGTAAGTAGCAACATCTCTGAGTGCCAGGTATCTGATCACGTTGCAAATTCTGGCAGTACCAGCTAATGGATCCTTTGGTTCAACTGGACTATGTGAGTACTCCGCTATGGGGTGGAGGCTGAAATGGGGGACTGTATTTAGTGGCCAGCTTTGGCTCATGGGGTTGGATTGGCACAAACTTATTCACCTGTTTAGTGTTTGAGGCACGAGGCATGAGCATCAACAAAGGAAGTTGTAGGATGCTGTCTTGGTGGTGTTGAGGGTTACAGTATATGAATGATGGGCTCTGTGGTCTGTTTTCTATTACTGGTGGCAGCTGGGACTGACAGTGCACATACTGGTGCACATACATCTTACAAAAGATTAATTACTGACTATTTCCACTACCTTTCTCACTTCCTACAGCAATTGCTTCAAGTATATTAGTTATTAGTATTATATATTCCTTTTTTGTGCTGCAGAGCATTTAGTCCTCTATCTGGGCTTTTTCAGTCAATTGCTGATTCTAATTTGGCATACTCAGTGCATGCGCAAGCTGCTTCTACTTTGGCGCGGGCTACTACAGCTGCTTTACTGGTTTTGGATCATCTGGAAGACATAGACACTACTGACCTTGTCTCAGCAATAAATAGCTCTGAAGTTCCTTTAGCTCACTTTGCTTCCATCCTCAAGCATTGCTGCTGGCTAAGCATAGCCACAGTAGATGATGAAGAGGTGCACTCAAACCGAAGACCATTTTTCTTGACTTTGTCTGCCATGAGACTGTGATTGTACTGTTCTGTCCTCCCTACGTGTCCGTTCACAAAGCTAGACACACATCTAACACAATGAATGTGAACTAACTTGTGATTCCATGGTTATTGTTTACTGAAATCTTCTCTTCATACAAGCCAATCTTTTTCCTTTATTTCTTCTTTCTTCTGTAAAACTGTTATTTACAAAATGTTCATAACTGTTACAGTTACAGAAAATGTTCGAATATACCATGCAAGAAGGCATAAGCCATTCATCTTACCTTAACTTTTACCAAGGTATATTACCATAGCAACCATTTGCAAGCTAGCTAGCACTTATAGAGAGGAACTAGCTAGCTAAGTGACTAGCATGTTAGATATGTTGCTACTACATTTTCATATTCAAACTCAACATAAAGCCAATTACTGTGACAAAAGAGAATGCAAACTTGCATAAACTATGCTAATAGACATGTCTGCAAAAGTAAGAATACTCACGAGCAAAGATTCGCCAAGGCTTACAACCACTTAAGAACCACTTTGTGGTTCAGTGATTGGTAATCAGTGGTAAAAAGTGGTAATCAGTGATTGGTCATTGGAAACAATGGTAATCAGTGATTGGTCACAAGCGCAACACAGTCAGGCATTACACACTGATGGTAAGTCGAGTGAATCTGCTCTCTCACTCATATATCAGCAGCTGTGATGTGAACTGGAGAGCCATATCAAGTTCAACACAGTCATTAACGTCTGCTCAAAAAGTCACTAGATTTGTTGCTGGGCTCTTTTTTGGGCCTATGAAATGGTCAAATTCTGCAAGAAAGTCTCCAAATTGGCAACACTGGTTACCAACTAAATCCACTAAATCCGCTTCTGCTCTCTGCACCTGTCTGATCCATCCTGATGCGCTACTCCTGTTTGGAGTTCTCATCACCTGAAAATCACTTGGGCTGCTAAGGATGGCCCTAAATGGACAGCCTAAAAATCAGAATGAGATTACTGTGGATGGTACAACATAGAAACCATAAAGATGGCTGTGGATGTTCTTTCATGATTAGTCTTTCAACTACAATTGCTAAGAATAGTTTGCACTCAAGTCTCCATCAATGAACAGGTAATAGCTTCAGTTGGATATAATAGACTTTAAGATATAACTATAATGAACTCAGAAATGACTTTGATGCTCATACTCATAAATTGCAAATACTAAGCTTCTTTTTACACAATTGCACTTTTTGACCATATAGTATACAGTTATAGAAAGAGATATTATTTACAGTCAAACTATCCAGTGTCACCCAGATGAGGATAGGTTCCCTTTTGTGTCTGATATCTCTCAAGGTTTCTTTCTCATGTCGCCTCAGGGAGTTTTTCCTTGCCACTGTTGCCTCTGCCTTGCTCATTAGGGAAACATTTATAAATTTAAAATTTATATCCAGATTTCTTTAAAGCTGCTTTGTGACAATATTCATTGTTAAAACTTCTATTTTTATCTTCCTGTTTTTACTAATTCAGCTGAAGTCTTACTGTCCTGAAATTTAAGCACTGCATACCAAAGACTGTTCACTTAAATAAAAAGACAGACATGCACCAAAAAAGATCATGGTTTAAAAATGTTATGTTTTACTAAATAAAGTCTGATATAACTGTTGTTTATACCCATCAGCTATATTTTATTGTTGCCTTATTGGAACCCGAATTTTTGTTGGTAAAAATATTTGTTTTGTGGCCTAAATATTTGGACACCTTACGTGTCTGTTCAGTTTACATTTTACATTTATGGCATTTGGCAGACACCCTTATCCAGAGCGACCTACAATACTGCTTTGAAGTCTATCAAAAATACATTCTGACATTGGCTCACTAGGTCACAAACTAGGAATACCATCAGTCCAAAACTCTGTTGGGAGGGTTTTTTTTGTTTGTTTGTTTGTTTGTTTTTTTTGTGTGTGTGTATAAGTGCTAACTTAAGTACTTTATGAAGAGGCAAGTCTTTAGACATTGTTTGAAGACTGCCAGTGACTCAGCTGTTCGGA